ACCTTCCAAATTTTTAGGTGATCCGTACTTTTATCTATCTCCATCTCACTATAATCAGATTTACCATTTTTAAACAAGCCTATTGGAAGGTGCACTAGATACATGTCAATATAATCTAGTTGCAAGTTTTCTAGTGATTGCTGGATATACTTATCTACATCTTCAGCTCGATTTCCATAACACGGAAGCTACGTAGTAATACACTTATATTGTAATATTTTAATCTTTGTTTTTAAAATAATTTTGAAACTATACTTTAGTTATGATGAATAATTCGTCTCTAGTCACTTTACCAGCTGAAATCCATTCATTTAAAACCTTTCCGATGACTGCTTCATTATTGTAACCAACGGCTGTGTCAATTAACCTATAGCCAGTTTCCAGTGCTATATTTAAAGATTTTTCTAATTCAAGCTCAGTAGCCTAAAACAATATTAAAAGTCATAATTTAATAGAATGAATAAGTTGTTTAAAAATAGTTTTAATAAAGTTATAAATTGTAATTTTTTTACACGACTAAGTAATAAACAAATCAATAACCAAGTTAATTTAATAACATTAATTTTCATATACGTAATTTTGTAAAAATAAGGTTTTTTTGTATTATATGCGTATAACATTTTGTATGATACTGTGAGTATTAAGGTATGGTTTAATAAATTTTTGTATTATACCGTGTTATATACATTTTATACGGTATAAAAATTGAAATTCTTTATTAAAAAAATATACAAATTTGAAATTATCTTACAAAATTTAGATTTGATTAAAAAATCATTTCTTGTTTGAAAATTTAATTTTGTTAATAGCAATTGGAGAAATTAAATATAAAAATTAAAAGTAATAAGTAAAAATTAATAACTAATGACTAATAAATCATGAAGTGAATAATGTAAAACTTTATTAAACATAAAGCAAAATAGTTTTGTTTCTCAATTTTATAGTTCTGACAATTATATTTATGTGTATAAATATAAATAAATTACAATTTTACTATAAAAATTTAACACTGTTATATAAAATTATTCTATACAGCGTACGAGTAAATACTACCATGTATAAAACGATATTATAAATTTGTGTTATAGAATTCACATCACTGTATATACATTTAAGCAGGATCAAAATAAGATTAATTTAATAATGTACAACTATTTAAATGAGTAATTATTTTAAACTACTTTTTATATTTGTAATTTAATTTGAAAAAATTGCATTATAATATAAAAAAAAAAAAAATAAACCAAGGAAGTCGTTCTGTTTTATAGTAGGATTTTACCTTGTCATTAAATCACTGTAATGGGTGTGTTAAATGTTGCACTCAATAATAAATCATTGTTTTCGGAAAACGATTCTGAACAGACAGTCAGTTTCTGTTTCTATGAATATTTTATAATTTATTTATAACAGTACTGTTCTGTTATTGCTATACCATGTGCTGTAAATTTTGTATGGCTTTGTCGAACGGAAATTTTACGATTAAGGGACGCGATTAATAAATCGATTATTTAGTACTTATTATAATTATAATTAAATTAAAAATTAAATATAATTCATGATAAATAATTTCAAAAACTCTCGTTAAGTATGAAAAACATAAATAAGTAATAACTTTTTTAGAAGCATAATATATTGAAATAGTGAGATGTATCTTTTGAAATATAATCTATTTTTTTTTATATAAACACAAAAACTACAACTTAAAATAATTATATACATACATAACTATTATGTTAATGGATAATAAATATTAGATTTTAATATATGATAAATATCTGAGTATAGGTATATATCGAGTATAATGTTATTAAAATTTTATAATTAAATATTTTTGATATTATATCTAATTTTAATAAAATGTATAATAAGTACTGAATTAATTGATTTTATTGATCACAACTCTGAATCATATGAATGCGAGGAGTAGAGGACATAACAGATTTATGGCCCGGGATGGTAATTGGTAATTTTTAGTAAATCTATAATCGGTTATATAGTAATATTTTTGTGCTCTATATAATATTATAATCTATTAATTTATTTAATAATAGAAATATTCAATAATAATGTAGATAATTGTATAAAACTATAAAACCAAACATAGAAGAACGGATTTTTATAAAACTATAAAGTTTATAAAGTTATCAGTTTATTTGATTTAAATATTTTAGAATGTTTCTTAACCTGTTCTATTTAGTGATCAAGTTTGATTGTTAGTAGAATAGTGTTGGGTAAATACTTAATAATTAGACAATCGGAAGATGCAAATTAAATATTAGTTCTTAATATACTTTAAAACAAAGATTAAATAGTTAGGAAATAATATAAACTGTAAATAACTATAGCAAAAATATTATAAATGTAAAAATTAGAAGTTTGAACGCACATATTTTGAATGAGATACAACGATATAGACTTCAGAGAATATAATAATAAAATAAAATGAGAACATCGGGGACAAAAAAAATAAATAAAATATTAATTCCTTAAATTGACATATATTGATATTATTATTTACGTATCCGATTAATATTAGTTTCAAAGGACTTACCAAAAATGTCCCATAACCTATTGCCGGCATTCTGCCACCTGACTGCAATTTAAAATATGCCATTATGTGTAAATCAAAGGTAATGCACGATATAGAATGGTATTAATACTGATAAGCATTAATATTAAATACTTTTATTTATAGTGAATGACTTAACATTGTTTAACTTGAATGGCTGTGAAACTTTTACACGGTTTCAAAATAAAGTTCATTGTAATACAGTATATAAGTAGGTAGATATCAATGATAATATAATTAAAGCCGTTGGGAAATACACTAAATATGATGTTTATGAGACCGAATCGATATTAAATAAAATTAAATAATTATTCTAATAAAATCTAATGTTTAAATCGATTTATTTTAACGAAATTTATTTATATTATATTCTATAATTGTTGAAATAATTATAACAATATTTACACGTGATACATATAACGTAGATATAAAAGCACAGTGCGCAATTATTATTATTATTTTATAATTTATTTATATAATAGTATTAGAAATTTATTTTTCTAATGATAATTTAATAGGTTAAACAAATTTCTGCATTACTCATCACGCATTTATCGTTTTTAAAGTAGATACCATTCATAGAAATTACCTTGAAGTAGTAAATTGTATATCATATTATATATATGTAATTAATTTATGTAAATGTGAAAAATACAATTTTTGTGATACTCATGTTTTTTGAAACTACTCTTTGATTATCTTGATATTTTTTTTAAATGAAAGAATACATCGTGGAGCAAGTTTTAAACTTATTTTTGATTCTATAAGTTAATGAAAAATTGAGTTATTGATTTTCTAAATTTTCGGCAAAGACGCACATAAAGTCATAAAGATAATTATTTTTTTTATCCATGTAACCAATTACTGATTACTATTAGAAATAAGTATTTTAGTGAATAGTTGATGTAGTATTAAATAAATAAAATAAAAAACTTAATCGTTGTTTTTGGTTCACACTATTTAAAACTTTCGAGTTGTTAGTTTTTGATTTAGAATGAAAAGAAAATCAAATTTAGGTCGTTTAACAATAATGAAATCTTTAAAAAAAAAAAATTGCTGCTGTTAAATGATCAAAAAAAAAAAAAGCAACGCTAAGCAGGACAGCTATGTAGAATTGATATGTTGGAAATAATATCATCTATACACCAAATCAGAAAATCAATAATATTATTTATTTGCACGTGTTACGCTAAATGTTAGTATTAGGCAATCAAATTTAACTCGGATGCATTTAGTGTATTAATTTATAAGTCAATATTACGTAGTATTCTACTAAAGCGTGAATAGGTTTATAGTATAAATAGATTAAAATTAATTTAAAATTATTTTGTTGAAAAATAATTTAAGTAGAAAAGTTTTAAGCAACTATGATTAGTTTTTTTTGAATTACATTAATAATTTAGTATAATTATAAACGATTTTAAGCATTTGATGAAATTAGGCTTAACTTTATTTTTCAACTCTAATAATAAATTTTTACGAGGAACCTTATACTACATTTTCATATTTTAGGTATGATTGTTAAAAATGTTATGCATTTTTTTTACAAATTTTTGTGATCGTCTATTAATATATAGGTATATAGCCTAAAAATGTGGAAATATTTTGAAAATATGTATAAAAAAGTTTTTAAATAAACATTAAATTTCAATTTTCAATGGTAACTATTTTTTGTATTTGAGTAAAAAAAAAAAAAAAAACGGAATGTGTTTAATTAAAAAATGGTTTGTGTAATAATTTTCGTTTTTCCTTAATTATTGTTCTTTTATATTTTATCGATAATTTTAATAAATGCTAGAATTTTTGTACTGTCTACCCCCTTGAAGTACTAGCTCTAATATTTTACCAAAAATTACTTTCAAAGTTAAAAATCTAAACATTTTTTTCTACTAAAAAAAAGTGTCTTTTGACATAAAAAATAAAAACAACACGCATTGTTATTTATTATAAAGTTTAATAGACCTTAAAAAAAAAAAAAAATGTATATTGGTAAATTGTAGTTTGTTTAATAATATTAACGCGTTGTCAAAATAAACATGGATTTAAAATTCATAATTTTAATAACTTTTGAATATAATTTTGTATAATTTTTGGATTTTAACAAGGAAATATTTTTAAAACGTATAGTTATGAAATACGCAAGTAGTCGATTACCATTATTTTTCACAGATTGGATTTATTCGATTGCACCGATCGAGTTTTATTCAAAAACATATTACCATTTACGTTACGTAAATGATAAAATACTATTTATTTATTCGTAAACGTGAACACAGTAATATGTTGCAGTACGGCTAACAGTCGGTTTTCGAACATATTTTTATCTGTCCGATATTGTTTTCATACCGGAATAACATTATCTGAAACAAAATTATTCAAAACCGTTTACATCGTGTATATATTAATATTATTATTATATCTTGCGCGAACACATGACTCGGACGCGTTTACCCGTCCGCGCGCAATCGGTTGTATTCGTTTTCAACAGTGCCGGCCACGTCAAGAAGTCTATCGTGACCAATCATGAATTTTTCGAAAATCGTACGCTACACCAAAGTATTCATATTTTATTTTATTCTTATTATTATTATTTTCATAGTTATCACTGCCCCCTCCCCTCTTATGATACCTATAGGCTATATTACCTTCCGTTTGTTAAATACTTTTTAGGAACACAAACGCCACGTTATCGTATACGATTACTGTTGTAATACGCATCATACGATATTAGGTACCCATATCATATTATTATAACCGTCCTATTTGGTCTCTGTGCACAGATGGTCATTTACCGACACCGACGGATGCTGGTTTTCGGTAGTATTGCGGTCGTGTTGGCTCTGATGCTGACAGCCAAACACGAGAATAACGTGCGGTTCATCAGCGGCAATATGGAAAATGCCAAGCCGCACGACGTCTGGGAATACGTGTCGGACTTCTCTAACGTTATGAAGCTCAATCCGACCATGTAAGTATAAAACGTGCACAATGGTTTTATTAATACGCTTTTGTTACAACTATTCATATTGTGTATATTTATTAACGATGGCGGTCCGCTGAATCTACGCGCATAATTATATTGATAAGAAGACAACGAATTAAATTAAAATTGTATTTTTAGTAGTAATCATTTAAGTTGAATATCATGTAATACTGCGTGTGCGATAAAGCTTTTAAAGCTTTTGCATTATATCACGTTCATCGTGCACTTTGTGGCCCCATCATAAAGTTCTATAATTCTACATGAAATTGAATTCTTATAAAATACTGTCGAAGGGTGTCACGGTTCAAAAAATGTTGAGAAACGCTTCAGCTACTCATATGTTATTATAATGTAGTGTACGCACGTGCGCTATAAATGTATTGTAGCGGTTCTTAAGGGCACTGCGATCTTATTTCAAGGGCATCACGATTCATACGAGGATGAAAAAATAAATATTTTCATGCCCTCGTGGTATTTATAGAAGAGTATCATACCTAAATTTAGCCTAACAAAATGGCACCGCCGACTAAAAAAGTTGGTAACTGCTGATACAAGTATATTGCATTATATAATAGAGAGACATTTTACCAATATGGCATATTTTAGAAAACATATAAAAAATATGGATAATGCGTAGGAATAGGAATAGTAGTAAGTAAATATGTTAAATCGCATGAGATGATCGATAATCTAATAGACACATGCCCACTTTGGTTTTTAATTAATTAGATAATTATTGTTTTACTATAAAAAAATATCATACGATTATCCCTCGTAAGATCTAATATTAGAATATCCAATACCACAGAAAATTAACAACACACAGAAAGGAAATATTTTAACTTTTAATATTCACAAATCGTTCGCTTAAGGAAACATATTAACTTATCTTACAACTTATTCAATAAAAAAATGATATCTATTTATTTCAGTATTGTTTTATTTCTTTAAATAAATCTACTTTAAAATTAACACTATGATATATAATACAATCTTATTTTCATGACTTGTGTGTTATAAATGCATAGTTCAAATTTTTATTAAATTTTATAATATAGGTTAGCAAAAAATATATGATTTAGGAATATTTAACAATACAATATAATATAAGATATAATATTTAAAATAACTATTTATTATATCTAATAATTATTATTAACTGCTCACTTTTATGGGATACTTATCGATCTAAATTTTACGAACTTGTCTTTGCCCTAGATAAAATCCACGAGCAAGTCTTACAGAAATTTAAATATAGAAGTACTTTAAATATTATGAGAGTATAAAAAAAATAACAGTGAACTTAATGTTTATGATTACATATAAATGTTACAAGCCGTTATTGAGAAATGAGTACGAATTAAAATGTGCGTACAATATTGTTGGTATACCTACTATATATATTAATGCATATTTTTATAAACATAAACAAATTGACAAGGGTTATTTTGAAGTATAAAATACCATTTTTTTTTTTTTTTTTTTTTGATGAACCCTTAAAAGAAGTTTTCAGAATTATAAATTGTCGTCCATTTATTTTCTCCCCCTAAAGTTTATAGTATATACACATCAAATAAACGATAAGTATCTTTTATGTTTGCGATTTTAGTAAAATAGGTTTTAACTCAAATTGGCCCTCTGAGTGTATCATAAAAGTTTAAATTAAACTTTCTGCTATTCTACCTTTATTTTTCTTATTTATTTAATAATTTTGTATACACTACGTTGCGTCTCTTTCGTATACATTCTATGTGTTTATGAAAAATAAAATATTTAAACAAATAAATATGTTTTTATTATTAATGGTTAACTACACCAAAAGACTTTTCGTAATTTTATTGCAGTTAAGTACATTTTTTACTCAATACAGCACCTTAATAGGTCATTTATTATTTGTCTACATAATTATATTACCAAAAACGTTCGGAGAATGATATTTTACACTACAGTTTGCCTGTTATATGCTTTCTTTTTTTTTTCACACATTTTTGACAATTTTTAGTCGAGTATTATTGAGTGACCATATGAACTTTTTATGCGTTTCAACAAACACAAGTACCTTGTTTACGATTTATGTAGGATCAAATACTTTCGGTAAAACAGTTTATCACAAGTTAAATACTAATTCTAATACAACAGGAACAATAATCATTACTTATAGCATAATAGGCGTATACGAGTATATAATTAATTTTGTTGGTACCCGAAGAATGAAGATACATATTTATGTTTAATTTATTTACTGGTAAACTAAAGTTAGTACAGTGTACACGAAAATAAAAAAAAAATATTGACGTTGTTGGTGGTTTTTATATGTATTATATTATTACTGTTACGTAATTTTATTTTATTTCCCATCATATGGCGGCGGTGTATCGGAGTATAATACTATTCTAAATGATAATAATATAATTTGTTATTTTTGTATAGACCATACAAATGTTAGACCAACATGGTGCGATTTTCATCGGTCACTACATGACTTATCTTGTACCCATCGTGCATACAATTTATTTATACGCACAAACATCACATCACATTGCATATATATATTTGTGCAACGTCGATATCGGTAAGGTATGCAGAAAATAGGTATATTATTATAATATATTGTGTATAAAAGCCATCCCGGTAATACGTGTTTACGAGATAAAAACGGCGCTTGGACGGTACGATATAGCGATTCACAGTTTATATTATTATTGTTAATATTACCTATTATTATTATTGTTATATTGTCGATAAAAACAATAAAATTGCAATGCAGTCCTCAATATTATATGCTGTACACATATTCACTTACATTCAAATCGTAGCGTACGTTAAGGATAAACCATTATGCTCAATGGATATTTTGTTTATGCTTATTATAAAGTAGGTACTTAGTAAGCTTAACACTTCGAAAAATTATATATAAAAGAATGTTGTCAGTTTTCCAGTTATAAAAATGCAGATGTTCTTGCAACAAAAGAATGTGTTTTTTTTTTGTTTTTTATTTTCTAACTGAAGTCTGACCATTGAAGTATACTGTATAAAATATATTTGATTTAAGTCTCACGTTTTAATCTTTAAACTTATTTTTACATATAGATATTATTACAAACTATGTAATATATTTATGAGTGCATCAACATAATCATCTTATTATTAGTTACCTAAATAAATATACGATTTTAACAGAAAATTTAATCAGAACTAAAACCTAATCAGAAAATGATAATTTGGTTTTTATGATATAATTGTTATTTATAAGAGTTTAACAAATCAAACCAACAGGATTTAATATATTAGTTATTAATTATTAATCACTGAGTCTATTTAGTATAGGTTTGTTATGATAATATTATTATGTCTGAAAGTTGCATACGTAATTTATAATCGTTTATTTTTATTGGTAGTTTATGCAATTTATCAAAGGTCGAAAATGTTTTATGAAAAAATTATGCAAGTTAAATGTGATGTGTTAATTACATTTTTGATTAAATTCAAAGACTTAGCAAAAAAAAAAAAAAATAAATAAATAATGTCACAAAGTTAATTAACTATTTTTTAACATAGTTTCCCCTAGTGCATGCAACATTTTACTATTTTATGTCAGGTTTCTTAAAATGTATGATGTTTAAGTTTTTAAGTAACCTTGAATTTAATTTTGTGTAAGTATTTAGTTTTTAGTTTATGATTTGGATTTGGTATAGATTAAACAGACTGTACAAACTTAAACCACGTCAAACAGTTTTGCTGTATAATTTTGTGGTTTCGCAATGAGCACTTAATAATTATATAATTATACTTAATAATGTAACTGCATTTGCTTGAGGTAATTAAGTACTTTAAAAATAAACCTAAATTTATTTAATATGTTAAATGCCCATAAGATTTTTTATTTTTTTTTTAATTAATTTAAATTAAAATCTTTTATAAATATTATGTTATGGAGGTATAATTTTGTTTATTTAATTTTTCAAAACTCTTGATTTAACTAGGAACAATCACGCGTACCTTTGATTAAAATAATGTCTAGTTTTTAGACATTTATTCTGTAATTTTATGGATTTATTATGAGGATAAGATTTATTAAGTTACAGTAGTTAAATAATTAAATAATAATACTATTTGCATTCTCATAAAGACATACTATTGTGTATAACAGATTAACGTTTTCAAATATTTCAGTCAGACGTAATAGATAGTTAATATATATATGAAAAAAAGTCATGACAACTATTATATAAGTCTAAAGAAAACTGTGGTCTTAGTAAGCACGATCGGTACTAGTAATGTTTTTGAAAAATAATTTTTCCTGAATCTAATGTTGACTCCATTCCACTGTGGTTTGCGAACGTATAACCAGATGGCGTCACACTGTTGGACGCAAACGATTATTTCGTCTCGAATTTCATCGTAGTGGTAATGAAAATCAGTACTATAAATTTATTGTGGGTAAATAAATGTTTCAAATTAATTTCTATACTGGATGTATAATCGTCTTAAGATATTTATTATATTTTTTTTCTTGAAAACAGACGTGTAATGTTGTCAATAAAATTGTCATATTACCGATGTATATACGTAGATATACGATAACTTTTAGAAGAGTGGAATTAACGATACTGAACGTTCTATTATCCACTGTATTTTTTACAATATCTTATTCTGAAAATGAATTTATGTAGATTGCTCTTTATTGTATTGTATTGTATTGTATTGTGTTTTTTTTTTTTTTTGATAAAAGCAAACGAGCTTTCGGGATTTGTTCTGCCATGGTCATAATATTATTATCATCAACCGGCACTTTATGGTGCATGCCGGATTTCGGGATTTGCCCCTAACATATTATTATTAATACCTACATAAACGCATACGGCTCATAATAGTATTATTATCAAATAAACGTATGGTCAAGCTATTTCGTAGTTGATTCGATTATGATGAAATAGAATTAAAATAATATTGTACGCACTATTATGTGCACACGGCCAATGGTCTTGCGTACACAAAACAATACAAGTACCTACTATGGAATTTTAATATAATCCTATAGCATATTACGATTTTTATTATATTTGGTTAGGACATTTTCGTTTCGTCACTGCTTTATACATTTTTTTTTTTTTTTTTTTAACAATATATTAACATTTATATTATAAAAGTTTTTTAGAACATCGCAGTATCAATAAATTGTATATATCATATTATTATGTAGTACAACAAATGTATGCATAAAATAAAATATACGGGTTACAATTATTTTATAGTTTATAGTGTTTACACATTAAATTAAAAGTTTGACGGATGTTTTTTAAATCACTTCACAAGTAATCGTCTAATTTTTGAACGTTTATTATTATGTTTCGATAATGTTAAATCAGGTAAATATAAATATAAAATACGATTTCATCGAAATAATGCCAATCATATTATGGTCTCAACCTTCTGTCTTGCTTGTATTAAGAATAGAGTGTTTTATGGTGTAACATATAGGCGATATGAATACACTTCATTGTTGAAAATCCAAAAAATATTATTGTCTTAAATTTACTTAGATCTTCTATATAAGTTTTGTAGTTTTGATCTTCATGGTATTCTTGGAACATATACTAAGGTAGGCATAGTCTAAGTTTGTAAGTTTCTTCCCAAATTTTGAGCTAAAGAGCTTCTTTACTCTAATTTATAGGCTACTATAACATTTTCAAAATTGATTTTTTATTCATGTTAACAGGTAGGTCAATTCCGTACAATCGTAAAGCTGTTCTTAATGAACCCAAAGGAATTGAATACTATTCACAAAAATCTATTTTATTGAGTATATAATGTTTTAATTTATGTTTTGAATTCAGCAATCGTAGTCTTTACTAGGAATAAGTAAGTTAATAGCGGTCTTATTTTTGCTATGTATTTCAGTAGACATTTCATCTGTATGAGTTGACCTGTGATTTAAAAAGGGTACCTATATGATTTACATCCTTTCAGAAAATGCATAAATAATAGACATCATTATGCCAAGCTCAATTGTATGTAATAATTTAATTTTATATAATCAGCTGGGCTGTATTAATTCTTTTAGTTTATTAAAATATATTATAACTATTACTTAGTGCCTACTAAAATTCGAATAATATCACTTTTTATTCTATTTTATCAAATCTAATGCTTTTAAAAGTGTCAGATTATTTGTATTTATCTTCAATGAATACATTTATTTTCATAGATTCATACACACATATTCTAAAATCTGAAAAATATGACAATCTTGATGGAAGTAGTAGTTAGTTAATCATGAATTTGGTCTCATTTGATTTTATTCGTGTGTGCTAAAGTTTATATAACATATTATAAGTATGCAAAGTGACTAAATGTATATTAGTTGGGTAATAATATATTCATATATGATAATTTAGTGTAATTTTAATAAATTAATAACTAATATGATAAGGATATATTGTATCTAGAGAATAAAATCAATTTAAATGATTTTTATATTACTACATAATGTTCTTGTGAAGATATCCTCAGCCAATATTGGTTTTTATTTATTTAAAGATAGCATGGTCAACAAAATTGAAACTTTCTTTAGTTCCAAACACAAATCAATAACAAGTTTTACTGATAAAATTGGATACTTTGAAAAGAAAACGATATTGATATTTGTAAAATTAATTTTATTTCTAAGTGGCATACAAGTTTTAATATATTTTTCATTTTTGATATTATTTCTTTTCAATTGCATTTAATTTTTAAACAACAGATAATAATTGAACTACCTAACACAATATTAAATTAGTTCATAATTTTATCTGTATTTGATACTTTTATGGTTTTTTAGATAATACAAATTTAATTATTTTTAGATCTACGAAAAAAAAAAAATTTAAATGTATTAATATTTAATTTTAACGTAAAAACAGTATTAAAAATAAACTATTATAATTATTATTAATAAATTACTTTTGATTTTTAGTAAATTATATTTAGTAATAATATTAATTGACAATCAACAAAAATGTTATTAATAATAATTGATAAATATTATAATGCAATTTAAATTAATTAAATAATAATATTATGCCAAAAGTTATTTGAAGTTGGTAGGATAATTTAGCTTATTACTGAAATAGAGTTTAGAATACAATTTAATTATATGATTACTGTCAGATATATTGAAAATGTTTTAAATAAAACTGTTTATAATATTTATGATTTTATTTTTATCAAATATTATATTAAATTTATATTTCACTGGAAAAAGTGTATCCAAATTGCCTATTTAGAACGCCGTGTTATGGTTTTATTATTAAAATTAATCATAATAAATTATAATTATTTTGAAGATACAGCAAAACAGTTATCCAATGACTGTAGTAATCCCAGGAACAAAAAAATAAAATAGCGTAGGTATCGTAGTATGAATACATAGCCAGTTAATTAAATAGGAATAATAATAATTGAATCAAAATTAATAATGGTGTAAACACTGGCAACACCATTTAACTTATCAAACACTACGAAGTCGCTTATTGTAGAGACGGAGCAGCGTCATTTAAAATCAACGTTGAGTACTGACAAATCAGGTATTTATGCTGCTCAGTATTTGAACTGTATATAATTATACACCATCATTTGCCGCAACATCAACGGATAGTTTGAAATGTTCAGTATCAATAGGAATTCCGTGCGCGGATGATTTCTGAAATAAAGGTGACTTCGGAAAGCACCACGAGCAAATTGAAATGTATTTTAATACTTTTTGGACTTGTGTTATCCTCAAATGTCACACTTAACTGTGTCCAAGAAAAAGTGTTATCGAGTGAGAGGCGATTGATGGTTGGTTCCTAAGTTAAAAATTATGATTTCGTTTACCTATTTTAAATTCATACTCTCATATTTTATTGTAATGTTATTAAAATAGTTTAAAAACAGTTATTTTATTTTTAAACGTTATAACTATGTTTTATATCAGGATTTATTATTTTTTTTTTAAATGCTTAAAATCCAATGCTTCGTCGGTCATTATTTTATATATGTAAATATTAGAGACCCATTAATGTTGTATAGACAATAGATACGGTGATTGCAACTTTCAAAACAGTGTATTATAAACTGTTTTAACTATGGGCGTCCACGAGGAAGCAAGGCGGGGTACTTCCCTCCAAGAATTTTAAATTTGTTACCTAATTGTAATAATGATAAAAAATTATAATCTTTTATAACTAAAATATATAATAACAATACTTAAATATAATAATGTACTATAAATAAAATGTAGAAAATATTTTGATTTATTTTTTAAATTAATTTTGCTCCCTCTAGAAAAATTCCTGGTGACGCCCATGGTTCTCTAACTATACATACATACAGTAAAATATAACAAATATCACAATATATTATTTTATGTAATCATAATTGAGAAAATTTCATTTTTTATTTTACATTTTTCATACTATATAGAATGAAATTCATAATAACGCGCGAATCGACAGATCACAAACAATGGAACTATACGGTCGTGTACGAAGAGCACTTATCTCAGATTCCGTTCGTGATCAACAAGATTATCGGTGATTTCATTGTAGACAAATCACATACGCAACCCGTAATCAAATCAACACACCGGACTTGTTTTGCCAAGATTTATTGTTGTAAGTATAGTGTGAGAGTGCATCCACACACACGCACGCGTGCGTGTCACACACACACACACACACACACACACACACTTATCTTAATTTTAAATTTACATACCTGAAAAAATCCAAATAGTGCTAAACTTTTTTTTTTGTAAAACACATTAAAATATTCACATTAATGTTAAGCTAACCTAATGGAAACATATAATTACGCGACGTGTAAATTGAACGTACAATATAGGTAAAATGAACATAGTAAAAAAAACTGTTGTATTTGTATTTATATGATTTTGAAAATCGACTACCGCCTTTCTCACTTTTACGAAATAAAACGTCCCCCTCGAGACAATGATTCACCTTTGATTTATTTTATTCAGTTTAATATTTTATATTTAATAGCACGTTGTATTCTATGGAAACACGTCGCCACCCTCGTATCTCACTTTTCAGTTCCGGCCGACCTCATTATCAATTCATTATACATGTTTGATTTTTTCCGCCCCCTAAAAGTGGTATGCATTTATATTTACACCAAATTTTGCAACTGACCTATAATTAATATACCGTTTTTCATGATGTTGGCTCACCACTAAACCATGTGTTGCAGTGGACACTAAATCGGAAATGATATTCGTAGACCTATTGAACGGCACCAGAATCGTGGAGAAGATCAAGTACGAATGTCCGTGGTTCTTGACCAGGTTCTGCATGAATGAAGTCCTCTACCAGCGGAAAGAGATATTCAGAGAACTTCAGAGCGTGTTTACGTAAACAAGACATTAGTGTTATTATTATTAAAATGTATATTACTATTGATGTTAATTCGTTTAGTTTATTTTTATTTAAAAAAAAAAAAACATGTATTTATTTATTTATACTCCATATTAACTATAAGAAAACAGTGCACACTTTGTTATCTTACTATAGTTTAATTAATAGTTTCCGAAAGATAAAGATTTTCCTCCATCATTCTCAAACCAGAACAAAAGAACAAAATTTAAATTGTTAATTCTTATTTTTGACTTTTTTATTTTTATTTTATGTACGAGATTAATTTTCTTTTGGCTAGATCGGAAAGAATAATAACAATAAATAAAAAAAAAAAATCCGAATAATATTATTAACGCATTTTTTTTAACGGAGTTTTTCTTCTTGCACTACTTAAAGAAAAAAAATAAAACAAAATATTGTATTCTGGTGGTAACTAAATGCAAATGAAAGAGCTCGATTACCATTAGTATTATTTTTTTTTTTTTTACAGATTAACATTCCAAAAAATACCCTTTCAGTATAAACAATATATTTTTTATGTATAGTTTTGTGATTTGAAGTATCCGCGTACACATTTTTTTACATTAAAATATAATAATATTTTCGAACTCACACCAATCTCAGAGAACGACCGTCTACGGCTGAATGTTTATGTTAAATTAATGCATAGTGCACACAGACAACCTAAAACGTTTTTCGTTATTTACAATATCAAATTTTCATATTTAATTCGAATCATTTGAATAATATAAAGCTCTTTATTATACTATTCAACTCGTAATAAACATGTGAAAATAAACACCTGTTCGTAATTTATCAATATAATAAAATCTCGACTTTTATTTCTGCATATATAAACGTCAAATAAATAAAATATACCTCCTTTAATCGTGAATAAAACAGAAAAGTGGGTCACCGATAATAGTATTGTAATGCATATATTATATATAGTATAATTATAAAGGGTCATTCGTAAAATTAATAATGGTTTTATTATTTTTAACCAAGAATCGAAAAAAATGTTAAACCATTAAGCTCCATTTCACTGTATTAATGCTTATTCAACTTTTTAACAGTCCCCTTTTTTGTTTTTGAAATAAATAATATTAGTGTAAGTGTTTTATTGTTTACGTATATAAATAATATTCATTATTATACATACCTAACTATACACACAATAAAATAAGTCTAAGTTTTATTTACAGCAAAACATCGCATAAGAACATATGTGACGTATCAACACACACACGCGCGTCCGCACATAAATATACAGTGAAACCTCTAAATACCGGACATTATCGATTGCCGACATTTTCCCCGCTATTTAGAGGTGTCTATTAAGGGAGGTTTCAGTGTATATATTTATGTATATAAATATCAAAAAGTGTGTTTTATATTTTAATAGTAGTAACAATACTAATAAAACTCATCTCCAACTATTATATTTTAATATGATAATTTTTTTCAACTAATTTATGTATACTAAGTAGTTTAAAAATATTTTATAGTACGTTTATATTGTTATTGTTAATACAATAGGTGAAACTAATTTGTGAAAAAAATAAATCACATTGGTCATTCAATAGTTATATTGGAATTATTTCGTATAGCATTAGGTTTAGACACTAATTAATTAGCATCTAAAAAATTAGAAACAACAATCAATAATAATAGATTGATAATCGACATACCCGCTTAACACACAACGATTGCTAAATGAGAAACAAAGATATTCTGTCCACTTGCACTCCGTGTGAAATAAATAAATAAAATATAAAATCGGTTTTGTGTAAAATATATTCTCGATTTTCTTAATTTTAAGTTTTCTAGATTATTGTGAAAAGTACGAGCCATTTTTTACTATAGACAAACCAAAATACCAACTAAACCTGATTTTCTCTCTTAATTTACCCTGTAGTACAAAGTGTATGGAGAAAATGTTTAAAATATTTAAGTATATTCTGATGGAGTAAATATAGTGTCTATAGGTTTTAATTACACGAGCGCAAGTCAAAAACTCGCGGTCGTCACGACGTCGACCAAGAAGAGCTCCGGTCACAGAGACTATTATCACAAACGTCAAAAGCCTAACAACGTATGCACTATAATTTATCGATATGGTTATAAATGAGCTGTTGTTACTTGTTAAGGACAAATATTTTTTTAGGCGTTTGCTATTTGTCATGTTAACATTGGGAGTGGAAAACGCAAGACTATCGTTTGGATATGTAGGTATATCAGTATTACATAGACACGATCACAAAATATATTAATTCGTGTATTAAAATATTTGAACTGTGTTATTATTAAAAAAATATAATATAATATTATTTGTCTTTTGTAATTAATAATATTGAGAAATAAATCACATTTTTTTTATTTAAAAAAAAAAAATAAAAAAAAAATATCAAAATAAATACTTTGAAATATTGAACGATATTATAGCCGTCTGTGCAAAGATAATTTCTTTTCTCCAGTGTCAGGGAAATTTAAATACTAGTTGTGGACAATTGCGCTTCTTCTATGCACATTATCAGAATGCATATCAGATAGGAAAGCCCCTCGGGGAGGAATCCTCCCCCCCCCAAAAAAAAACCACCACTTTAAACGAGTTTCCTCGCGTGAATAAATAATAAATCGAGTGCAAATGGAATTTAATAATATGGTTAGGGTTGTATCATGTATATATATATAATATATATAATATATATGTATATTAAAATATATATAATATATATGTATATACAATTCGTGTTCTATTGTCACGCGAACACGCAAAGTCATACGACCGCGACAACGACGTCAATGGTTTGTCATTTCTTGCCACAGCCACGGTGAACGAGACTGACGACAACTCAGTCTCAGTCTCTATCGCTGTGCTTGATCTATAATATTATAATATAACACCAATATCGTGAACGTCAATAATTCATACTTTGATACTTAGGATATTTTTTTTTCTCCTGTGATGTTTTTGTTTTTACTTTGATCATCATATTATTTCGCTATGCGGTTGACGTTAAATGACATTGTACATAAAAGCGATTATAATATAAATATTTATTATATTTGGTCTCGATATCCGAGCATGATAAATACAGACGCAATCAACGTTGATGACTTGGAAAAAACAAAATCGTAACGTGTAAACATCGAATTTCTGTCTACTTAACGCGCCGTGGTACATGCACAATATTGCATACACACCCTTAACAGTTCAATATTATGTTGTAACTCAAACGTGCTAAAAGTAACAAAATGTTAGTGGATTTTGTAGGAAATACGCGTGCCGTTTATTTTGCAATGTTTTTTTTTTCGTCGAGATTTTCTATTTAAAAAACTAATGGGAAATTTTGAAAAAAAAAAAAACACAAACTCTCTCATTTTCTCTTAAGAAGATTACTTAGGTGTTTTCAATTCGTACACGTACTCAGATAAGTAAGACAATATGATAATCTACTGTATCTCTCTTTGTAATTCGACGATCACATGTTATTATAAGCGTTATAAATGAGTATGGAAAACAAAAAAGTAACTTCTATAATTATTTGTAAAATCAATACACTTTTCCGCTCCACCCTAAATCTAAAAAAATCAATAAATTATTCGTCTAGATGTAAGTCTTAAAACGTCGTTTTTATTGGTACCCCGACAAAATATCGCAACAAAAATTTCGCGAAACCAATACACCGTAAAAAAATAATGCCGCCGTAAATTATTATCGAATATATTAAATCCAAATACACCAATAATTAAAAAGAACAAGATAGTCAGTTGGGCTGGACGAGTAAAGAAAATAGCAATAGATTATGATAATCGAGAGTTTGAAGATCATCTTCAAAGTATTTCATTTAATACATACTTCTATTGAATTTTTTTTAATACTTGTATCAATTTTATTAAATTATACATATTTTTACCAATTCTTCTATACTATATTTATATGAAAATATTATATACTTTGGAGTTTAAATTACATACAATAATTTATAACTATTATAAAATATCAATTAATAATCATTATATTCATTTATTTCTAACTAAGTTATTGCTATATTTCATATTGATGATATGTGTGCTGGCGATATTTTGGTCACCCGATATTTTATTGTCGATATTTTGTCGGTGATTCATTTTTATTTTGTTCGAAGTAAATGAGATTTTTATTCAACCGTCACAGAACGGCTTACGACACGCACATATTTTGCTCATTAAATTACAAAATGTAGTATAACGCAATCCAAAAACAAAGTGTATTTGCAACAATCGCACCAACTAAACATATATATGTTATGAGATGCACGTTTTAACTCCAATTAGATGCTGCATTATTTTTTTTATTTTTTTTTTTTTTAAAGTAGTGATTTTAGTAGATATGCGGTGATTAGTACTTAGTAGACAGTTCACGTTGAGGTATAATTTCGTGTCTAAACTTTTAATCTCAAATACGGTTTATACGAAATGTTTTGTAAATTTGTCCTCATCCGTGCATTACTGATTGTGTTTCTTATTTTTATTTATATTTCACTGTGTTTAACACAATATTTAATATAAACGTGGAATTTGTAGTTTTCACGTTTTTACACATTTAGTTTAAACATTTCGTAGACAATTTAAATGTATATTTATTTTTTAATAATATAATAGCGTTTTTAAGTCAATTAAGTTTCTATGTTATGCTAGTAAACTTTGATTAATATTTTGTGTTATACGTGTGTTTAATTTAATTAATAGTTTTTCATATATTTAAATCTTTACTTTTAGTTAATTTAAAATCTTTACGATTAAACATTCTACGTTGATATTTTTAAACAAACATAACTTTATAACAGTAAATATAATATTTTCATTTGATTAATAGTTTATAAGTAATAAGTTATAAATAATTTATTCTACGTTGATTCATAAGCAATATATGTTTAATATTAAAAATAAAACATTTTGATTTTTGAACTGGATGGTAATTTAAATATAATTAAATGTTTAGAATTTTTTATGATATGATTGAAATCAATACACTATCTTACAATATTTTTTAAATCAAACCATCGATTTGTACCGTATTTTTACAAGCGCATTAATAAATAAACACAAAAATATGATTAAAATATATTTGGTTAACTTATTTATATTATTTGAGTCTTATTATTGTATTTTAATTTTAAATTATACTAATAATAATACTATAATTACCAACAAGAAACTCAAAATAAAATATTACTGCTAATATAAAATACTTATTATAATACCTATTATA